ACTGTTCTGCTTATAACCTGGGCTAATGAAGACGGGCATACGCCATACAGTGTGCTCTACGGCCTCATCTTATATCGAATTCCAACTGCCAAGGGATCTTTTACGTGCACGCCAATGTGTACACGGGACCTCGGTTTTTCGTCCCACCCGAACGACTAGACAGCTGTCCTTGCCAAGCCCTCCATCCTGCATCACTGACAAAGGGAGGGCGGGGCCATTGTATTCGCGCAATAAAATCCAAGTAACAATATTTGGTATTCTATTCCGTATGCTATTGGTAGCCAGTGTAGAGAGTATAAGACAGGGGTAATATGATGAGCAGTATATGTTCGAGAAATTATTGTGACAATCGCAAGAACCTGGCAGGAAATACATAAAACAGAAACGAAACTGTCGTTACAATCGGTCTAGATCATACCAGGGACAGACTAGGGGCCGGTGAGCTATGATCCGGAAGGGTTCTCTCAAACCGGGCGAAAAATTTCTACTGAAAAACTGACTGTAGATGGTGCTTTCTAGAGTGTATCCTGGTGTTTCTATCTTATGGTATCAGATAACCATTTCCGAACCAATATTAGGTCGCATATTCTTAACAACTGGATGTATCGAAACCACATTTAATCCCAGTGAAGATGGTGCAAATGCATACCAAATGAAGAATGAAAATTGCACTAAAAAAAACCCGCGAAACAGATGTTTGGATTTCTAAATTAATCTTTGAAACCAAAATAGAATTCAGTAACCCTGAAAACTTTTTTAGTTTTAAACGAAATGCCTATGGGTTCTATTTTAATTGCCGTCATCTGTGCTATACAAAGTTAGATTCTGGGGTAGGAATTCAGCTCAGTAACCTCAACAATCTTATATAGGATAATTACAAGTCATATTCTACGGAAGAAAATGAAGATAAATTTTTTAAAATCCGCCATTTTGTCGACCATTTGAGATTTCGAAATAATCTTTTAAGATCAGTATTCATTCAAATGACATCGAAAACCATGCGAAATAAATTTTACAAATGATATTCAACGGGAAATAATAACGATGAATTGAAAATCCGCCATTTTGGATTACATTCTGGCTAGCAATTTGAATTTCTGCCATGCTGGATTTTCGAAATTCATTTTTAGATTCAGAGACATCGAAAACCATATAAAAGACATAGTAAAGGTCATATCTTACGAGATAGTCACCAGTTAAATATGGGCATAATGCCATTTTATACCAAATTTGGCAGCCATTTTGAAACCGGTACCATGTTAAAAATACATTTTTTAATTGTTTTGGTCAAACATGCAATCTTTTGTACATTTCGCCTCTATATCAATCTGATTAAAACACAGATCCTATTTCGTTTCTTTTTTTTTATACTTCAAACTTTCGTTTTATTTGCCTTTACTACACTAGGATCTGGAAGAGTTGTTATATAACCAGTGTTCTGGTTAATATGAAACTATCCGTTCCAGCGAATTCTTGAACAATTGATATCCTACTAGGAACATCAACGCTGATTGGTTAATACAATTCTGACGTCATAGGGTCAAAAGCCGGTCGTATGACCCCTGACGTGACCTCCCACTACAACTTTTCAGATCTGCATGTAGTAGAGGCCATCGAAAGTATAAAAAGAAAAAAAAAGAGAAACGAAATATAGATCTGTATTTTAATCAGATTGCCTCTATATCCACTTTGTATTGTAAGGATTTAAAAAATTCTATTTATTATACCGCCACTGAAACGCACTGGTCACGAGATACGGCTCTCAAAAACTTCCTAGAAACCTCCATATTGAATTATACTAATAACGTCATTTCGGATTTGAGTATGATGTTGTGTGTTATATGTATGATTGACCCTAACTACATTGGTTTCTTTTGCAATTTGTTTGGGGCTACTCCACGTTTGAGATTGATTTATTCCACCCATAATTCATAGAGGTATGATATTTCATATGCGTACTAACATTAATTCATAAAGTTTTAAACACGACTAACAACACACTAAAGCAACTGAGCTTTCAAATTGTACATAATCAATGTGGGTTTCAATTCTGGTCTCTATGGTGTTCCATCAATAAACGGAGACATGATTCATAACGTTATTGGGATGAAAAAAATATATGCGACTGTTCAAATATAATATGATTTGATTTATTTAGAATGAGTATGAATGGGGTTATATAGATACCTTATTTAATTGAGATCGTTGTTGTGTTACAACATATGGTGTACTTGTTTCGAATGTTACCATTTGTATCTAGAAATTTTTCGCCTTTACTTCAATTTTTATTTTAAAAAATCAGGCCCCCGCCCCCCATCCAGATTGTCACAGGCCATTGTTATTTTGTTACGCTGATATTTATGCCCATTAAAATTTCAAATATTTTGCATGCACTGCTAACTTCCACTCCTGATATGAGCCACTAATGCAGAACGACACCCCCCCCCCCCTCAAGTCCGCTTCCAAAGTAAATTAATCACATGCTTCGGTGTTTCATCGCCAGAATAAATTTTGAGTTTATTTAATGGTGGATAAAATGAATGATAAGACACTGGTATAAACAGTAATAAAGCAGCTTATGATGAAAAATTGCCTAAGTTTATCGTAACGTAAACTTACGAATCGCGTTTCACTAAAATTCTTCACTTACGAAATTCGTAACTTTTATCGTAAAGTCTACGGCAACTCTCACCCTGTCGTAAGTTGGAATTTGTTACGTATCTTTGGCAAAATGGCCGCCTTGTTACTTTATGCGGATCGGCAACTTCGGCGAGAGAATATTCATGGATAGATTAAACCTTCTCGACACCCATACGGACGAGGAGTTAGTTTCGCGGTACAGACTTGATCGGACCAGTATTACCTGTTATTAACTGTATTAATGATGATATCGAAACCCAACTTACCGATCGAAATCCTTGTCATCACCTGTACAAGTCCTGATTTCATTACGATACTATGCCACAGGTAGCTTCCAAAAACTCATTGCTGATGCACATGGGGTTAGTGTACTATCAGTGTCTAGAGTAATTTATCGTGTTTCACGAGCAATAGCAACCTGTGTTGACGATAAATTATCAATAAATTTACCTTATTCCATGGAAGATATCAATTCTGCGAAGGAAGGTTTTTACCAAATAGTAGGCTTCCCAAATGTAGTGGGAACGATTGATGGTACACAAGTTGCCATCATAGCACCATCGGGAGAAAATGAGCCGCTGTTCGTCTGCAGGAAAGGGTTTCATTCCATTAATGTTTAAGCAACAGCTGATTCTAAACTCAGGTAAACGTACGAATTATCGCCTTGTTTTAACTCAAAGCTTCAACATGGCACGATTATGTATGACTCAAATGAGGAAAACGATAAGAGGACTCAACGTAAAATTACTTAGTTCACTGCAGTAGGTAGAGAAGCAGCTGTGTTCCCTTATGTGGGCTTAGGTCTACCGGTAAATAAATGAATGGATGCCCTTCCCCCCTCTCAATGTCCAACGGGTCATATCCTGACAACACGGCGTTTTTAATAAACCAACATTTGGGACAAGCGGGATTTGAGATCGCGCCATATAATCCAAAACATTATATACATTACATGTAATTTATTACGATACCGAAAGAACGAAAAAATAAATTTCAGATTATTAAACCAACATTTAGGACAAGCGAGATTTCAAAACATTATATGATTTATAAATTATACCGATACGGAAAGAATAAAAATAAAAATTTCAGATTTACGAGTGTCTTGGCGAAATTCCCTGGATCCGCCCATGACTCGTACATTCTGCAACAAAGTGGAGTAGGCCTAACCGGGAAAATGCTTGAAGACAGAATGGCTGGCAACCAGTCTGTTTTATTGAGCGATAGTGGGTAGGCCTACCCCTTAAAAGCATGGCTTATGGTGCCATTCACGAACCCAAGTAGCAGAGCAGAGGAACGTTACAACAATGCCCATAAAAGGGCACGATGCACTATAGAGAGGGCATTCGGAGTGCTAAAATCTCGATTCAGGTATAGCCGGGTTTTTCTTTAAAAAAAAAAAAAAAAAATGTTCACTCTGTAAGTAAAATTTACAAAATTTGAGACTAGTGTTCAGACTTCATAATTGATATGAAATTGCCTTTTTAAGTTTAATGGTCAGGGTCGGATTTACCTACTATCTAGTACCGGTATGCCTCTTGGCAGGCTCAGACTGAAGCTTAGCCATAGGGCCTCGTGGGCCTTTGGTTGTAAGCCAGCATATAGGCTACATTACAACATAGTAATTAGTATTTAATTTAATTTATCACCAACAGCGGCTCAGGAAAAATAATCTCAGTAGGCTAGTTTTCATTAAACAAGACTATGGCTAACTGAATTACTATTATTAGTATTAGGGCCTACTACTACTAGGCCCTGTATTAGGGCCTAAATAGTAAAGAGTAGGCCTAAGCCTATCGCGGCAAAGACCGACACTTACTTCGTACAAATATTCTCCCAAACTCAGTCTTTCGATGACCTAGTCAGACTGCTGCTCAATTTTCCTTTCAGAATTCCATAGTTCTGCTCAGCACCCTCAATTAAAACACTGGGAGCTGCAGGGTTCCAATTTTGTTTACGCTTTTGGCAGACGACGTATACTACTATGTCACGAGCTATGACGTAGCAAACAAAAACAAGAAAACAAAAGGCATGAAAATAGCTTTTTATTCATAAATACTCAGCTAAATCTTAGCGTATGTATAAGGAATATATCATTTCGTCGTTTATGTTTCAAAAGGTAAGGATAAAACCAAACATAACGGCTATAACGCCGACATTGTGAACATTCAGACCGTGGGAATGTTTATGGAAGTTTGAATGAAATGACGTCACGACCATTCGTGACGTATTTACAAAAAAAGATACGAGAAATTTAATGTTAAGAAAGACTTACGCCGGCCTTGTGAAACCGGCGTAAATCTGTGCCGGACTGGGCCCACCTGTCTACCTGTCCGTGGACATTAAAAAAATGGGGGGGCCTAAGCCTATAAAGAAAAAAGAGAAAGAAAAAAGAAAAGAGAAAAAAAGGAGAGGGGGGGGGGGAAGAAAAGAAAGAAGGAAGGAGAGGACAGTACACAGGACAGGAGAAAGAAAAGATAGGAAAAAAATGACTGACAAACAACACAAAAAAAGAAGTGTACTACAAGGAAAGAACTTTATGAGTTTGGCCTCATTATACCGAGAACCGTGTAATTCATCTTTTAACCTCTACTTAGTTCAGGAAATCAAAAATTTGCCTTCTTCTGCTTTGGTCTGAAATGCTTGGAAAATGGGTTTGCGGTTGTCAATTTTCAAAATTTTCCATAGGGGGAAACCCCCCCACCCACCCCCTTCGGCGCGCCCATGACGAGCCGAAGGCGCGTACTTGTGTGGGCCTTGGTCAGTGACCTGACTGGTGGGCCAAAGGCACTGGCGTAAATAATTCGTATCTTTTTCGTAAGTTTTTCTTAAAGATACTTTCTCAGAAAAGTACTTATCGGGTGGTTCTTTGAAATAAAAGTATGTCAAATTTGGTATGGAAAGTACAGACACCCAATCTTACTAGAAAAATACTGGATTACCCGATAAACGCCCATGGGGCAAGCACTGGACAAAATTGCCAGGGTATCATAACTGGCAACCCGACTGTTATCTACCAGCTTATTGTGTGCCAGCTTAAGTGAGGGAGCGGTTGTTATTTCTTGATCAAACGGTTAGGCGGTTTTGGGAACATTGAGGGGTGTCAACGTACAAAAGACTCTGCAAAAAAACGGCGGAAAAAGAAGTTGACAGAAATAATTAAGAATTTACTTAGGCCTCAATATGTATGGTAAATGTACAGTAATTAATGATAAAAACATTCTGAAAAATGGACCCTCCCACAATGAAGCTAAGTTGACAGACATTGCGTCTAACAACAGCTTACTTATAGCTAAAGGTATCCCCGACAAATACAAAGTTTTGAGTGGGAATTGAAGCAAATTTTTGAATACTTTGAATATGTTTTTAGTCCAAATATATCATCAAATCACAAAGTTTGTACGCGGAAACTTTTTTTCTTAAAGTTACGAACTTTTGTGAATCTGCCCCCGTAGAAATTCGAAAGGACTGTTCTTAAATTTAGCGGCTGAACTGGTCGGAAATTGTCCTTTATATTATACTGTTTGTTATTGGGACCCGATTCAGAGGACATCAATGTACGAAATGTCGCCATCTGTAAAGCAAAAATTAGGCATCTTATGAGAATTCAAAATTATCTTTACAGAAGAGCTATATTGCTTCTCATTTAATTTGTATTCGTAAAGCTACAATTAGTACAGTTACTTTATCAATGCATCCTGAATTTTTATGTTCAGATTTTGCTTATGGCTGTAATAACAGTCTAGAAAGTTTACGAGCATGCACATATTTTATTCAAATCGTTTTAAATACAGCTGTCAACATTTCGCCATCTTGTAGCCTCAATATTCATATACGGACAACAAGTGGTCCAAGGGAGTAGGCTACGTCACTAAGCGGAAATTTTTAAAAATGAACAGTCGTAATCTTAACCCTTTGTATCTACGTGTAATTGTCGCTAACGCGTATCACGGATGCAAGACACAGAAAGTACTAAATGTTGACATTACCCTTTAATGAACACAAAGAAAACTCTAGAACATTAGTATCCTACAAAGATACGAGATCGTATTTGACCTCGGACGTGCCCGACCAAATTCCAGGAGACCTTATCTATATTTGGACAATAAACGTACCTGGGTTTTTGAGATTTTGATAGTTTCAGTAAAAACTGTCCACACAACAACTTCATTACATGAGGGTGTTGTCAAACTTCCACTGTATCGGAAAAGTTGGTTGGGTTACTTGGGATAAAGTTCATCAGAGCTGTGTTGTTTAAAGATACCAGGTCTGTAATTTAAAATAAAATGAATTAGACAAACATCACAACGTACATCATCAGTCACGAACATTCCAGTCGTAATCCCTGGAACAAGTTTTACTCATCAGTTTTAACAAATGGCATATCTGTTGCACTACTCGGGCATTATAGCGTCTTCCTTGTAAGCATATTTATGTTTTTCATTTTTCATTTTGAGATAGGCCTGTGTCATTTCAGAATCTATACATACAGAAATCCTATTTGGCTATTCTCGACAGAGAGGCTTAGAAACGATGGTTTTCTAATCGAGAGAGAGAGAGAGAGAGAGAGAGAGGGGGGGTAACGTCCATTCAGACTAGGTCATTTCGGGAATAGCATATGATTCAATTATTTCTCTTGTGCGTACACTTTAGTAGTGGTGGGAAAGCGGTGTATCCGAGGGGAATCAAAAGTATACCCGTTGACCCAATGACAGACCTTATTTTCGAAAGCACAATCATTAGACCATTGGGCCCCCTGAATTCCCGCTTTTCTAATAATATGGGTAATAATATTCCACTAACTGTCAATAACATACTTACTACTAGTGTTGTATGCTGTAATGCCAGATAATTTAGAAATAAGATCAGCATAATTAGCATTATCACTGTCTGAAATCTACAAATAAAACATATAAATATTAGCACATTAGGCGTTACACGTGTTTCAAGGGAATATACTAGTCGTAATGCCTATAAGCAAATGACATTGGATTTAGCCTCCTACTTTTCTGCACCAACTGGACTAATGAAATCGGTCATTCGCCAGACAGTGTGCTATTGGGTAAATTTCGTCCAGACAACGGCGGTGCCGTTTACTCTTTCGAATTTCAACTGTTAAGAGTTTATTTTTACGTTTACGTCCCATCCGATTTACTAGAGTATTAATAAAATACTTTAAACGGACGGTATCATTTACAATAATTATCTAAGTTTCTAACCATATCATCTTGATTTATGCTTAGGATGCGTTTCTAATAGCTTCGATATTGAATGCGTGCGTTTAATTTGTTGAGATAATTATTTGTGAAGTAATGGTTATAAACACGATCAATTCATTAACCATTGCTAAACTTACTAGGGTAAAGTGGTGTTTTGTTTATTTTGTACATCAGAAAATGAATATATGGGTCTTTATATTGGAAGTAAGTTATATCAACTAATATGATTTACCTCAAACATGTATCCAAGAACAGCAAGACCATCTTTTACACCTACAGAATTTCCTTGACTTCCTAGAGAATTTTTATAATGGACGAAATGAACCTAGAAATTGAAGGGGAAAAGTATTATTTTATTAGAGATTCATATAGTCATACTTATATTAAAAATTCTTCATCCATGGTATTAGGAAGGATCGTTAACATATCAGCATTTTTAATAAATTATTATACTGACTTTACAATAAACACCCCCCCCCCCCCATAAATCGATTTCATTGTCTCTGAATAGAAAACTTTAAAAGTTACTAATATGTCGGGGGTCGAATTTCCATTATAGAAACCAACACGATGTTATTTTATTTTACTTTAATTAAGTGTATGTCGGTCTCTGTGGAAAGGAGGAGACGGTTTTAAAAGCAATCGAATGATTTTCTTGTCATGCTCTTGAGTCGAAATCAAGCTATTCTAGCAGTGCCAAAACATCAGATCTAAACCTCCTCAATTTCTTCAAAGATCACTTACTTCCACGGGATAGGTTTTGCCATTAAGTTGATGTTTGGAACCCTTCGTGTCATCAGATCCCCAATGAAAGTGAAACTGTGCAAGTTTATATTGTTCTGAAAGGCCGCCATTCGAAATATATTGATTACCAGTGACGTCAATTTGGGCTGAAATAATAATAAAATATTAACATATAACAGCTTAGTGAAACTCCTGTTTTCATTGGCCTGGTGAGGCAGAAAAAAAGGATGTTAAATTTGATTTAATTTCCAATTTTATTTCAGGTTCACGAAAGCTTTTTAAGAAATTACCACCCACTCTTGCGTATATTTCAGTTGCCCTTTAATGTAATTAGTTTAATGCTAGCACAGATATGTTAAGTTTAGGTAGACAAACATGAGTATCAATGGGGAGTATCTGTCAGTTGAATTATAAATAAAGTTATAATGTCATCCGTATATCTCTGAATATCCATAGTGGAAATAATCCTCACTGATCTACAATCCAGACTTTTAGTTGATTTTGGCCTATCTGTGTATAAAATTTTAAATTGTAACAGCGGCAATTTGATTATTTTTTTTTTAAAAAAATGTCTCTATTACAAAACTTAAATGCACTTCGAACCAGTTTTTAAAAATATAATAATCCAGATTGTTTATAAATGTCGAAAAAGTCACAAATATGTACCAGAAGGGGCGGCCTTTATATAAAAGATAGAGAATTGTCATTATTTATTTAAGACAGCTATAAATGGCGGTGTAAAATAAATACAATTCAATGTAATTTAAAATTGGTCCAATTGTTCGACTGAAATGTTTTGTTTGTTTAATAATAAAAGTACTTTTGATTGTGTGTGAATTTGACTCTATATTTAACCTTTGTTTTAATAACCTCAAATTGGTTGTATATCATGGTATTAACTTTATAGTTAACCTATATTCTAACAGTCACAAACTCTATATTTACCCTTTATTCTAATAACCCCCAACTCTATATTTACCTTTAATCTAATAACCCCCAACTCTATATTTAACCTTTATTCTAACCCCTCAAACTCTTTTCTATAGTTAATCTTAGTTCTAATAACCGCAAATTGGTTGTGTATGGTTGTAACCTTTATTCTAACAACCTCAAGCTCTATATTTAACCTTTATTCTAACAGCTTCAAATATTTACCAGTATGTCCGTTGTTTTTAATCGTCAAGACAACTGGTGTGTTATATCCGGTCATTGTCATCTTTCCAAGTCTAGCTTGTAATGTTGTATCCGAAGTCTCAATATTGATGGGTGATTGACTGTTCTCGCTACATATAGAGTAAGCCTTTGCCCAGTTTGAGGGACCTGAAACATAGTAATATATTGATAATTCATCACATTTTGAATTAAAATTGAGTTATCTTTACCACGATATAAGATGAAGAATATAATTGGACATAACAACCATATCCTATTCCTGTAGCTTAACTTTAAATGAAATGAAATGAAATGGGGTTTAACGTCCTACTGTTCTGCTCCGAACTGGGCTAATGAAGACGAGCATACGCCATACAGTGTGCTATGAGAGAAATTTTGCCCGATCAGCGGCGCTACGGCCTACTCTTATATCGAATTCCAACTGTCAAGGGATCTTTTACGTGCATTCCAATGTATACACGGGACCTCGGTTTTTCGTCCAATCCGAACGACTAGACAGCCTCCTTGTCAGCCCCTCCGTCCTGCATCGCTGACAAGGGGGATCCACGCCGGAAAATCTGGATGAACTTTCTCGGCCAATGCAGGGATCGAACACCCGACCTCCAGGCTAGCGAGCCAGCGTCATACCCACTTAGCCATCGTGACCCCCCCCCCCCCTTACCTTTAATGTTGATGGAATAATAAGCAACAATTAAACACAATGCTCATTATTCTTTTACATGAAATATCATTTTGAAAACATGGTTATGGGTGTAATGTTATTTATTTAAATTAATGGGGGGGGGGGGATATATCAGATATACATACCCATACCACTGTCCTCGTATCCTCATACTGAAAGTAAAAATACTTTAATTATTTAATAATTTTGATAATTGTGAAAATAATATACACTTATATGGACACGATATTTATAATTTCGGTTGTGTATGTAAACAAAAAAAAAAAATAAAGACAAATGTGGGCTATAATAATGAATATACGCACTGGCAACGCGCTAGATCGTCCGTGGAATAGATTTGAGAAAACACTCTGATTAGTGTCTAAAAAGAACATTATTTGAACTATATATATATATGATAACTATTTGTCAGCTATTCGCCCTTGATTTGCACAGATAACTAGTTTGCTAACTATACATCACCCGTATAGTTCCAGGCATTGGTGAAAATGTTCTGGTTAATGTCATTTATTTGAACTTAAACATTTTACAAAAAATAGCTGTGTCTATTTGAGCACCTCCATTAGGAAGAGGTATCACGAGCTCTTCGAAAAAGCCACACATACACTGCCTCGGACAAGACATTTCTTGAACTTTAATGATTGTACATCCCACGTTTGAATGGCATGCATAAAGGTATAATCGGTACTTATATCTTTAACACATTCCTGCTGTCGAAAGGCCAGAATTCGTACCGAGTCTGGTTTGTTCCATGTGTTTCCAGCTGTATGTATAAAACGTTACGATTCTTTGGTTGCTGATTGATGTACACTGGGTATATCTATCACTTTAAAGAAACGTTATCTTCACAAAACAAAATGTTATTAAAGGCACACTATTCTGGACTAAAATGGAAATATAGTCTTTGAATCCATACACATTATAAGAAGAGTTTTTAAAAGGGGGCTTTAGATATATAAGCTATATGCCATTGGTTTCGATCCCAAGTTTGTACGTAACTAGGAGTAAATTCGCCTGCCCATCCTAAAGATCACTGCGCGTAATAAATTTATTTAACTAATTGCTAATACTATTTTGATCGTATGTTCTTTTACTCGGCCTTTTATACCACATACAAAATTCCACAGTAATAATAGATGAGATATAACACGATAGTAACCACTAATACAGATCAATTCCGGTTTATCTGTCCAGGACACAGATCACCAAATATTCCTACGCCGTCACCCACGAAACAAGGGCCAAAGCTATTTTTAGTCTTCCTCTCCCTTTTCCCTTTTCCCCCTTTTGCATGGCGATTTTTGTTGACTTTTTGGTGTAGAATTGAGGAAAAGGGTTTGAAAATACATTTTCTGCCAGGTTTTGGTGAATATTCATAATTTTGATGCGGGAGGATACAAGAGTTGAGAGGTTGGTTACGTTGAAATGTAGGGCCTGAAATTGTCTCTACTTCCAGCTTGTGTATCTCAAGTTTTTCATGAAGAACCTCATACGTGCTTTTGGGCAAGTGGTTGCCACATGTTGCTCCATCTGTGGTAGAAAGCGTTCTACCCAACGAAAATTTGGGAAAAAGTTAGAGCCGGTCTAAGATACGAGAATTAACATTGGAGTCAATGGGGAAATTTTTAGTGATCTGTGTCCGGATGACTAGCAAAATGGCTGAGTAGGAGACGGCAGTTTGTTTTCATTTTATTCCGGGACACAATGTTTTTGTGCCGTTAAATAATCTTTAACATTTTGGAGGTCTTTGACTGCCGGATAAGAATTGTTATGTTTGGGGGGGGGGGGGGGGGGGGTACTGTAATAGGAGAACTGAGATACAATTCACGATTTGTGCAAATTTTAACACATGGTACTATAAACAGACGAGTCTATGGATTGTTTGAATTATACTTCTATTTATGTACTTAATGGAAAAGATAAAGTATCTTTAAATTCTAAAACAATGCAAATGAAAAGGAATAATCCCAGACCACAAAGAGTGTTAACTTAATACTATATTTAACTGTAGTACATAAAACAGCGTATGCGGACTCTTTCTAAATAATCACTTTATCAATTATCATTTAATGAATTCAGATAATTAAAAAATGACTTTCTTTTCGTTTGCGAATATTTAATAAATATTTAGTATTACTAATTAAAGGACACTCAACTGACACATCTTTTTCTAACGGTAAATATCGTTATATATTTTATTCATTGACAACATTGAAGCTTTTTTTAAGGGGTACAGCATTAATCTTAATTTTATTTTTTAAAAATGGTCTGAAAATTCTTCTTTAATTAAACATTTTTTTTTACTTGAAAAATGAAGAAAAATGACATTTTATTACATTTATATGCTTTTTTTTTCTAGGAAAATATTTTAAAAAAGTATAGACAAAAAACTTACATGCTGCTGAAGATAGGCCTACGAATGTCAGAAGGTAAAAGCGACACTTAACTCTATTTTAGTAAATTTTTATATAAGTTTTTGTCTCACTGTCAGTCTACTTTCTGTGATCTGAATTTGGCCGTTCCTGAAACACTGAATATCATCCAATTTTTCCTGCCGTTTTTAAACGATACGGGGGTGGGTCACGTGGTGATTTTGTTTCGCTTCCAGCGATATAATTAGATTATTGTTTAAGCCGAGTTCATGAGTCAAGAGGTGGTCATCGCTGATTTTAATATTTTTTTCAATTTTGGTTAAATAATAGAAGCAAATGAATAATGTCATAAATTGGTATATATACCACGTTTTTAGCGACAGGCTGTTTTCTATCATATTCTGTATTTAAACAAGTGTTTCCCAAATACAATTTAACATTTATTATCCAAATGAAATGGGGTTGAACGTCACCCATACTGGGCTTAGAAATAGGGGTATACGCCCTATATAATGTGTGTGAGAGAAATGTTGCCATGTTCCAACTGTCAATGGGTTTTTTTACGTGCACGCTAATATGTGCACGGGGCATCGGTTTTTCGTCTCATCCGAACGACTAGACACCACTCACAAGAGGGAACCACACCGGAAATTTCCGATAAAATTTCTCGGACAACACCAGGATAGAACCTTCAAGTTAGCGCCTACTCACTAAGCTAACGCGGCTCCCTCTCTCAGAGAGTGAAATCACAAAGAAATATATTTGGATTGGGACAATGACAATAATATTGTGCACTGTGTGTTCTGTGTTTGTGTGTGGTGTGATCCTCCTGTACTTACTATTAAGCCTAGTACAGTGAAATCCCACCCAACGACCACTCCAGTATTACAGGTCACTCAAGTGTACGACCACATTTTAAAATTAATGTCTTATAAAGTATGTTCATTGGTAACACCGGCAACCTATATTTATCAACTGAAATTGATTTTAACACCCCGAAGTTATGCTACAATATTATGGCCTTGGATCCTGATCTTCTAAATCAACATTAAAGGAATTAAACTTCTAACTCAATATTATCCGTAATATTCGAAATTACAAACACGAATTCAATATTGGCCCATTTCAATCAACAGTAATGTTGTTATCTTATTGTGAAAATATGAGATCCAAATATTCAATATTTAAGACACAATCAACATTCAGTACATGAGTCGTGTATTGTATGGATATCGGGCGCCATTTGTAATTCACAAAGGAAAATATACCCTACAAGACAACGCGGAAGTAATTAGTAAAGCCTGATTAACAAAGGACAACATTTGGGTTATGGGCTAAACAGGCCGCGTAAACGACTGTCGTTCAATTTGAATTGACCACGCATTTCACCGAACATAACTACAATTTTAAAAAAAATCAAAACTTGAATAATCACTTCATACATTTATATTCCATTAATATGTGCTTTCAGACCCATTTTCGTTTGAACCAACAATAAAGCCGTGCGCCCTTCAAAACTGTCCAAAATAGGGTGCAGCTTTCCCTATGTTTTAAAATAGAAGTAGGAAAATTATAATTTATCACCCAATAATACATTCTACAGTAGATATCGCTTGTGTGATATATTTCATAATCTGCTGCGATATCTTCCTAGGAGATATCGCTTTACATGAATTTGATTGGTCAGTTGAAAAGGGAACTACTTTTTTTTTATTTTCAAAGAACAGTTTATTTCTTATTAAAAGTAACTTTTTTTTTTATTAAAAATGAACTATTATTATTCAATTGACCTTGATGGAAACACTGGGTCAATTGAATTGCTGTCAAAAAATGATGTATCACTACGCCGTAATGTTCAGAAAAAGTGAATTCTACAGCAAAGAATTATATTTATCTATTTGTGCATGTAAGAAGGGATTAGGTGATAAATAAAATCTCCTACTCGTCTTTTTGATATCAAAAAATATCAACACTCGTTGATAAAGTAAAAAAAAACTCGGCAGAGCCTCGTTTTTTGTTACTTTATCAACTTGTGTTGATATTTTTTGATATCAAAAAAGACTGGTAGGAGATTCTCTATATATCTATGAATTAGGGCTTTTTATTAAAAGAAAAGGCACGCATTATGACAACAGGACCATCATACCATTGATCTTAGTTAGATATCCAATCAAATATATCAATATCCAACTTGATTTATGTGTCATTCGCGGATTCTTCAAAGCATATGTTCAAGGGAAAGTTCTTCTGACCTTTTCTAATGATTTTTCATATAAAAGAACCCAAAAGATAATATAGTAAACGGAGTTTATCCCATTAATGTTGATTGCAGCGAAGGTTACCCCCAAGTCCCACCCCTATTAAAATGCACAGTTCTCATCCATTTAATATCTAAGCCTGTTGCGTATTGGTTTGTCATCCTACTAAATAACTCATATAACATTAGAAAAGAAGCCCGCAATAAGCAGATTTAGCTCTTACATAATACATCTTTAAATCAAATAAATGATAAAAATAAACTATTAAGTTACGCGAACTTCAAGTTACGTGAACTTTTAAAGTGGGTATTATATTAAAAGTAATATTTATATTACAGACATAGTTTTTGTGAACCGTGAAAAATAATCCTATTATTTTATAGTTCTTCGATAAGGTGACCGGTGACGACCTAGACTGTTACAATTAATATAAACTAATACACTTATTCGTTTCGGTAATAATAACATACGCAACATTTTTACCCATACCGGGTCAAACTGACACAGGACACGACTAATTCCTACATCTGATTACCCCGAAGGTAATCAAGATTCCCATGGTGAACCTCATACATGCTACATATGTCTCCATCTGTTGTAGGAAACGTTCAACAATTTGCAACAATTTAGAAGCGGTCAAAGAAATAAGAGTGTATAAATTGTGGTGAAATAACCACCCCCCTTTCTTCTCCCCGTTATTCGCCGTTTCTTGTCGAGAGTTCCTTTGTCACCGGAACCCTGTTTATGACCTCCGCTTGATGAAGCTCATTAAAAACCACAGGATTATTACAGACGTATCAAAATTTATTTCTTTCACTCTCTTTTATCCGAGAGAGAGTATACCGGAGAACCTGGGAAAATCCCATTTGGGATCGAAACCCCACCGCTTGGATCGATGACATACCAAACAGTGCACGAGACATGTACATGAAATTATATATCATTCTGCACTAATCGGGCGGGAAAGTGTGGCAGTGCTTGAAAATGAAATGAAATGGGGTTTCACGTCCTACTGTTTTGTTCCGGCAAGGCTAATGAAGCCGGACATCCGCTATACAATGTGCTATGGGGGATATTTTTCTCCAGGTTCGAAAGGTTCTATTACGTGCACGCCAACGTGTACACAGTGTCTCGCTTTTTCGTCCCATCCGAACGACTATACGTTGTCCCCTGTCAAGCCTTCCGTCCTACAACATTGACAGGGGGTGGGGGTGGGGGTGGGTGCACGCCGGAAAATCCAAATGAACTTTTTCGGCCAAGACCGGGACTTCCGGGTAAGCGAGTCAGCGGCTCCCTACAGTACTTGGAAGTCTGTTAATTAGCTATATTGGTATCTTGAAGACACTGATTGTTTTAGTTCGCCCTTTTATCTGCCTACATGTATTTGTTCTAAATTAAGTCAAGTGTTTATTGATATCCGGAGTCAGACCATATTTCATACATATTTCTATATACAGAATGTGCTAAATCCTGTTATGACACGGATATATATATTTCGTCAACAATAGGTTATTTAGGTATTGGTATATAGATAAAATGTAATGAGAATAATGTTTCATAGTCCCGGTGTGCCATTTTAGCAACATATGTATCACGTGCAAATTACAATATTAATATTGTGAAAGGTGAATCTCTAATAGGATTATTAGTCCAAAGTCTATGCTGTATCACTATGTAATAAAAAATAATAAATGGCGCATTGTTAATTTATATAAGAAAATAACAACATACATAGTGTTTAATGTTAGAAGGAACGGGATATTTTGAAAGATGACTCTGAAATGGGAATATGAGTCTAGAGATGATAGAATGAAGCTTTGTGAATATTCTGCATCATCTAAAGCACCAAAACCACCTAATATTTTCGCAAAAATATTTTGATGGGCCTCTTTTAATACGACTGAATCCAAGTCTGTAGATATTTTATATTTTGTTTACTTAATTAAATGTAAAATAATCACCCTGAGTACTATTTAGCATGGAATAAGTCGGGAAAATGACGACCAACTTCGTCAATAAACAGAATTAAATGAGTAAACATAATTATATCCGTGTATTCCAGGAGATGTGTGATAAGGTCTACGCCTGATATGATCAACCCTATCATGCCCTAGTAAATTATCAACAGGGCTCAATTTCAAGATGTCAAACAAGCAGGATATGTACATTCATAAATATAATAAAGAAACTATCGTTTAAAAAAATATATAACATTTGAAGGCGTTTCATTAAACCTGTACCCGTTTTATCACCAGCCACGTTCGTATCTATACCTTGTGGCATTCTAGAGCACGCCCTGCATTGAAAAATATCTTTGCCGGTATTATTTGGTAAACTATATTATGAAACGCAACTTATATCAATTATATGTTGCTATCAATCAATTAAAACACAGATCTATATCTATATTTTAATGTCCTCCACTACATAGTCTCGGACATAGTCTTCAACGTACGGTCTTGGCCATGGTCTGGATCAGTTGTCCATATTTGAGGATATGTTACTGGATAATCCAACACATAAAACAAACCCCCTATTACGCATGGACCGTGGTAAAGTCAAGAAAAGACATAAATATGGGAGGGGTGTTGCAATAAAAAAAACTTAGGAGTGTTGCACATAATTATTTGAAATCAGAATTTATTATTGAGAAATGTCAATCCACTAAATGAAGTAGAACGAGAATTTGAACTATAAATAACGAAACGAAATAAGATATGTGTTTTAATTAGATTGCGTTCCCGTTGGCCAATGATAGAAGTGTTCACAACGCACATTCAAAATGGTGTAGGGTGGTGA